TGCAGTAGTCTTGCAGTCTTTTAAAAAGTAATAGCAATAGAAGGGAATCTCCATGTGTGATGTGGGTTGGTATCTGGAGAGAACTGTTAGGTTGGCAACCCAGATAACAGCTGGGTGTGGTGATGCATGTCTTTAATCCTAGCACCTAGGAGGCAGAGGCAGGAGGATCTCTGGGAGTTCACATAGCAAGTTTGGGCTAGCCTTGGCTACATCGTGAGACCCTGTCTCAAACAAATAAACAACAACAACAAAACACAAACGAATAGGGCTGGAGAGATGGCTCAGAGGTGAAGAGTACTGACTGCTCTTCCAGAGGACCCGGATTGGATTCAAGTACACACATGGCCGCTCACAATTATCTGTAACTGCAGTTCCAGGGGATCTGATGCCCTTTTCTGGTCTCCATGTACTGCATGTACGTGGTGCACAGATGCTTACAGGCAAAACACCCATACACATAAATTAAAAGTAACTAAAATCTAAAAATAAAAATCCCAAACAGAAAAAGAAAAGAGAAATATGCCAGGCAGTGATAGTGCAATGCCTTTAATCCCAGCACTTCAGAGGCAGAGGTAGGCGGATTTCTCCGAGTTTGAGGCCAGCCTGGTTCACAGAGTGAGTTTCAGAACAGTCAGGGCTACACAGAGAAACCCTGTCTCGAAAAACCAAAAATAAATAAATAAAATAAAAAGGAGTGTATTAATTCTTTCTTGTCGTACTTTCTTTGGACCGCCAGCCCCCAAATAATGACACAGAGACTTATGAAAGCTCGGCTGTTAGCTTAGGCTTGTTCCCAACTAACTCTTACAACTTAAATTGATGTGTTTTTATTAATCTATGTTCTGCCACGTGGCTTTTTTCCTCTCCTCCATTCTGTATGTCTGATCCCTCCCTGTCTCTCTGGTGTCTCCTGCTGTGCCTGATTCTAACCCTGAGTTCTTCTCTTTGCCTGGAAGTTTCTCCTATTCTTTCTTGCCTGTCTATTGGCCATGTAGCTCTTTATTAAACCAATCAGGTGCCTTAGGCAGGTGAGGCAAAACACAGACATATCTTCATGTAGAGTACAAAAAGATTATCCCACAACAAAGGAGGAATAAGTAAACATTTCAGTCTTGTGGAAACGGCACAATTCCTAAACTGATGAAATAATTCCTTCTGGGTGTGTGTATGGATAGAGTGTGGTGGGGGGGGGGGGGGTTGTGTATGTATAGAGTGTGGGGGGGATGGGTGTGTGTATGGATAGAGTGTGGGGGGGATGGGTGTGTGTATGGATAGAGTGTGGTGGGGGGAGGGTGTGTGTATGGATAGAGTGTGGGGGGGAAGGGATGGAACTGAGACTTTCAGTTTACTTTTTAGTGTAGGTTTGAAATTTGAGCTATATCAATGTACACATTAAAAATTAAGAGGAAAAAAATAGCCTAAAGTTAAGGGGAAATAGATGCATACACCTGTAATTCTGCACTTGGGAGGCCGAAGCAGGAATATTGGAATTTGAGAATAGCCTGGGACACATAGCAAGGCCCCTTCTAAAAAACAGTAAGCCAAAAACTAAAACCAAACCCAAAACAAAAGAGAAACTGATGGCCATAGATAAAACACACTGATTAAAAAAAAAAGCAGGATGGGAGAGAGGGATTTATAAGCAGTTGATGATTGATAAGGGGGATTTTCCTCAGTGGTAGGCACTGGGAAGATGCCCATGCTTCTGTAAATGACCCCTGTGAGCCTCTACCTGGTCCTCATGAAGCCCACTGACTCATTAAACAATCAGATAAGACTTGGAAGTAGAGGGGAAGTAGTCATGAAGAGGAAGGGGATCCGTGGGAGAAGGAAGGGGATGGGATAGCACGGGGTGAATGTAATCAAAATATATACTGTAGGGTTGGAGAGCTGGATCAAGCGATCAGAGGACTGGCCGCTCTTCTCGAGGACCCAGGTTCAATTCCCAGCACCCACATGGCAGCTCACAACTGTAACTCCAGACCCAGAAGATACAAGCCCTCTTCTGACCTGAGGCACTGCTTTCACGTGGTGCACAGTCACACATGCCGGCAAAACACACACGTAAAATAGGGAAAAATGTATAGAATGCCGCACTGCAGCCCATTTCATATAATTTATATATACATATATAATAATAAAACACTTTAAAAAACCATCTAAATTTTCCGCTAAGGTATAGAGGTATAGGTAGTGAGCATGTTACCTCTTCAGGCTGTATATTCTTTGTCACAACTCTTTAACTCAGCCACGACAGGATAAAAACTGTCAGCCAGGCAGTGGTGGTGCACACCTTTAATTCCAGCACTCAGGAGACAGAGGCAGGTGGATCTCTGTGAGTTCGAGGCCAGTCTGGTCTACAAAGTGAGTTCCCGGATAGCTAGAACTGTTACACAGAGAAACCCTAACTCAAAATGCCAAAACAGAAAAAAACAAAACTGTTTAAGACACCATATAGGCAAGCGAGAAGGGAAGGGCTGTATTTAAACAAAACTGTCACTAGACCAAAAAGAAAAAAATGTTCATAGCAATGCCCAGAGAAAGGAGGAGGAAGGATTGGAGGGAGGGAGACAGGAGAGGCGGAAGATGCCTGTTTTCATCTCAGCGTGTGCATGCATGGTTAACATGTCTGTTGACACACATATGTGAGTTGGTACACATGTATATGTGTGTGGAAGTCTAAGTTTGAGGTCGGGAATCATCCTCAGTTGCTCTTCCACCAAATTCATTGAGGTGGGGTCTCTCAAGGAAACCTAGAACTCGCTGACATGTCTGGCCAGTTTGTTCTGAGGCTCTCCTGTCTTCTCTTTCATGGCTGGGATGACAGGCCATCTGCCGTCAGCCCAGCATTCACGTGGGTTCTAGGGATCTGGATCCAGTCCTTGCACTTGCGTGAGAAGTGGTTTAGTCGGAACCAGTGGTTCTCAACCTGTGGGTCATGACAGGGTTTGACAACCCTCTATCTTCAAAAGTATTTACATTGTGATTCATAACAGTAGCAAAATTGCAGTTATGAAGTAGCAACAAAAGTAATTTTATGGTTGGGGGGGTCACCAAGGCATGAAGAACTGTATTAAAGGGTTACAGCATTAGGAAGGCTGAGAACCACTGGTCTGAGCTATCTCCCCAGCCCCAGGACAGCTGTCTCTCAGTAGAATGCCAATCAAAATTTGGACGGGATGGCTGGTACTCACTGCTGAACAGCTTGAAGCAGGATAACAGATTCAGGCAAAGCTCATGAGGGGATGGATGCCAGGTCCACTGGAGAAGGATCACTGGGGAGCGGGACAGCCACACAGTTTTAAACCTTGAGAAAGACACAGCTCCCTCATGTAAAACTCCTCCCAAAATGATTAACCAAGTCTAACTGTGAAAGATAGGGTCTTCCTGTGTGACCCTGGCTGTCCAAGAACTCACTCTGTAGACCAGGCTAGCTTCCAACTGATAGAGATCCTCCTGCCTCAGCCTCCCGAGTGCTGGGATTAAAGGCATGTGCCACCACCTCCTGGCTTTGCCCAGACTCTTTAAAAGTCTGAAAAACATTGAGATTTTCTAGATTAAAGAAGAATAAACATACTCAATGACCCAAAGCAGCACATGATCTTTGGTACGATGTTGGCTAAAAAAAAAAAAAAAGAATCAAAAAGGATAGTAGGGAACCTTGAGTTTGGATTATTAGATAATATTACCACACATAACTATATTACACTTTTCGTGGGTGCTAATGGCACAGTGGTTTCTAGATCAGAGGAGGTTAATGTACTTTGGGGTGTAGTGTCTGTGACTGTCTTTCAAATGAGCAGCAGGAAAGACTCCATTCATATAGATCCCCGGATGGCACTGCTTCATTACCCAACATAGCCCTCCTATCTGCTGGGAATGGGATCATTCCCTGATTTCAGAGCCTAGCTATGGACCCCAGAGAGTTAGTAAAGCAACGAATAGATGCAAGGCCCTCTGCTGACAACATGCACTGATTCTTTCCTTCCTTCCTTCCTTCCTTCCTTCCTTCCTTCCTTCCTTCCTTCCTTCCTTCCTTTTTTGGGGGGGAGGAGTGGGGTTTTTGAGACAGGGTTTCTCTGTGCAGTCCTGGCTGTCCTGGAACTCAATATGTACATCGTGGAATTCACTCTTGTAGACCAGGCTGGAAGTATGATGATTACATGATGTGTGTGTATGCGTGTGCACACGTGTGGGTGTGTGCATGCTATAGCATGCACATGGAGGTTGGAGGACAACTTTATGAAGTCACTTCTCTCCTTCCTCCTCTATGTGGGTTCCAGGGAACAGACTCAGGTTACAAGCCTGAGTGACAAGTGCCTTTATACGATGAGTCATCTTGCTGGTCTCATGAATTGATTTCTTGCCCTTCCCCACAAGACACACTGAGCCTGGAGACCCAGGTTCAAGTCCCTAAGAAAGTTACTTTACCTCTATGGCTTTCTGATCTTGGGTTAAAAGATGTCTAAAGTCTCATCCGACCATGATGTTGACTCCATATACTTACATTTCTTGGGAGCTGGGGACAGTTTGATGGTTTTTGGTGACCATGTGAGTCAAGAGAATGGAATCAGAAGTCTGTGTTTTAGATTGTCCTGTCCATAAACTGAGTCTTTAAAAAAATTATTTTTATTTTATGTGCATTGGTGTTTTGCCTGCATGTATGTCTGTGTGAGGGTGTCAGATCTTGGAGTTGCAGACAGTTGTGAGCCACAATGTGGGTGTTGGGAATTGAACCCGGATCCTCTGGAAGACCAGCCAGTGCTCTTAGCTGCTGAGTCGTATAAACAGAGTTAATCATCATTTGTTGGATAAAGAAAAACAAAGTACACATGAATGTGTGTGAGTGTGTGTGTGTGTGTCTTGCGTAACTAAAGTTAGACCCAGAGTGATGTTGCCAGTGGGGTTTAAGGATTAGGGGTTTGGGGCCAGAGGAGTGTTCTTTGGCGGCTCAGAACTCCTGGGTCTGGCTGGCCTCACCTATTGCTTCCACACCCCAGGCCCACGAGCGGCTGGAGGAGACGAAGTTGGAGGCCGTTCGGGATAACAACCTGGAGCTGGTGCAGGAAATCCTTCGGGACCTGGCGCAGCTGGCGGAGCAGAGCAGCTCCGCTGCAGAACTGGCGCGCATCCTCCAGGAGCCTCACTTCCAGGTTCCCAGCTGCTGGATATGGGGGAGTAGGAGGGGGGTGGGGCAGGGGCGGGGGAGGCAATTTCCTAGTTGAAAGTTGGTCGGGAAGTCAGCACGGGGCATTTCCCCATTGTCCCTTCTTTTCCAATCCCTTTTCAGTCCCTCTTGGAGACACATGACTCAGTGGCCTCAAAGACCTATGAGACCCCACCCCCCAGCCCAGGACTAGATCCCACGTTCAGCAATCAGCCAGTACCTCCTGATGCGGTGCGCATGGTGGGCATCCGCAAGACAGCTGGAGAACATCTGGTGAGGATCAGAGGCTTCGGGGGGCAGGGACAGAGAGTCACCAATGAGAAGGGAGACCGGGCAGGTGGGACTAGGCCCAGGTTCATCCAAGGGCTGTATAGACTTAGCTATACATGGATGTGAGCACACACACGTGTGCACGTGCACACATATACACGTTCTCCCTCAGGATCCTCTCCAGGCTGTGGCGATAGGTGAAGAATTGAGCCAAGAACCGGAGATTTTTGAGTGGGGATGAGGGTGGGGACAGGAGTGGGATGGCCACTCTGGACAGAGACTGCCTTACCGCCGCCCGCTCCTTTTGCTCCTTCCGTCCCCCAGGGTGTGACATTCCGAGTGGAGGGTGGCGAGCTGGTGATTGCTCGCATTCTGCACGGGGGCATGGTGGCTCAGCAGGGCCTGCTGCACGTCGGTGACATCATCAAGGAAGTGAACGGGCAGCCGGTGGGCAGCGATCCCCGGGCGCTGCAGGAGCTCCTGCGCAACGCCAGTGGCAGCGTTATCCTCAAGATCCTGCCCAGCTACCAGGAGCCCCACCTGCCCCGACAGGTGGGCCTGTCTCCCTGAGCCCGACCCGGCTCCAGGCCCAAGAGTTGGCTGAGCTCTAGCTCCTAGGTCTCTTGGTCTGTTCCACCCTAAACTGTATGTCTAAGGGAGAAGAGCCAGCCAGCCCTCCAGGCTGATGGTACTCATTCCAGCCGCACAACCTCCAAGTGTGGCGCATAAGCGCACACTGACATGTCTTATGTGTAGGCATTTGTGCACATACGCAAGAGCTATGTGAGCTTCTATGACTCTATGACTTCAATGAGTGTGTAAGAGATCTGTTGAGTGTCCTGAGTGTGCAAAGAAATGTAGTGATCTTGGTGGCCTTTGCCCCTATGTGTGTGTGTGCAAAGACCTTACCCTGCAGGCCTGTGTAAGGTGGGATTGTCACCTGCCCTGGGAGCTGCTTCCCTGGTGGATTGTGAAAGCTGTCACCTCACCCTCCTCTTTGGGTGTTGCTCTCTCCAAATTCTGTCCTCCTGAAGGGAGGAAGGAAGACTACAGGGTTAGGTGCCAGTGACCCCGACCTGGGTATCTGCTTCCTTTTTCCTGGGGCCTGACTCAACCTTGGACAGTTTCTCAGATGCTAAATCTAAACCTCTTCATTCCAATTGCCAAGGAGAGTACCAGGAAGGCAGGGTAAGCAGGCCTGGGGACATCACTCCTTTAGGTAGGGAGAGTGGCAGGGAGGAGTGGACTGTCTGCCAAACATCCTTCCAGTGGACACGCTCTCTCTTCATTCCCTTGACTCCTCCAAAATCCCTGTGCTCAGGTATTTGTTAAATGCCACTTCGATTATGACCCTGCCCGCGACAGTCTCATCCCCTGCAAGGAAGCAGGCCTGCGCTTCAACGCTGGGGATTTGCTCCAGATTGTAAACCAGGATGATGCCAATTGGTGGCAGGTGAGCCCTGGGCACTCCTACAGTGTCTCCAAGTACAGTAACGGGGCAGAAGGGGTGGGGCGCTGCGAAGGGTCCTCTTACCCAGGTAGGTCTTTGGCATGTGCCATTTCAGGCATGCCACGTAGAAGGGGGCAGTGCCGGGCTCATCCCCAGCCAGTTGCTGGAGGAGAAGCGGAAAGCATTTGTCAAGCGGGACCTGGAACTGACCCCGACCTCAGGTAGGCTCCCCGTCCCCCGTCTCAAGTCCCAATTTAAGACTTGGAATCACCCAGTTTTTACTCATTTGCTTCCTTGTGGCCAGGGACCCTGTGCGGCAGCCTTTCGGGAAAGAAGAAGAAGCGCATGATGTATTTGACAACCAAGAATGCAGGTGGGTACTGATTCCTGTCCCAGTTGCCCAATATGCCATATCTCTCTTCCTCACAAGTAACCTTGGGGGTCAACTCTGCTCAGATACTGCCAGCTTCCTTCCTAGGCCTGCCCAAGTCCTCCGTTTCCCAGGTCTCAAGCACTTTTACTCTTGATGCATTCTGAGAGACCCTTCCCTCCCCCATGGGCCAGCCTGCTGAGCAGTGCCATCTCTCTGTGCCCAGAGTTTGACCGCCACGAGCTGCTCATTTACGAGGAGGTGGCCCGCATGCCCCCATTCCGCCGGAAAACCCTGGTGCTGATTGGCGCTCAGGGTGTGGGCCGACGCAGCCTGAAAAACAAACTCATTCTGTGGGATCCAGACCGCTATGGCACCACAGTGCCCTGTGAGTGGGGGCCATGAAGCGGGAGGTGCGAGGGTGGGTGGGGGTGGGGAAAGGAGAAAGGAGGGATGGTGGTGGAGGGGTGCGGAACAACACTGAGTGAGGCGCACCGGGTCAGGAGGTTCCTTTGGGTGCGCGGTGTGTGGTGTGCGCCCTCTGTGGGTGGATGAAGGGAACTGCAGGCTCGGGATTTGGCGTAGGGGCTGTCTTTATTTCAGGATTTCTTTTCTCAAGTTTTGCTTGCAAAAAGGGTCAGGGAAAAAAAATGTCTACCTTGGGATCTGGTGAAAGAGGGTTGAACTGCTTGTGGCCTTATAGCAGACATGGCTTAATCTAAGTAATGGGTCAGCAGGAGGCGAAGGTGGGTGGTGGTGGTTCCTAGAGGCAGGAACAAGAATATTAAGCACAGATTTCTTGACCCTTGCCGTATATGGCTTTGGGCTGTTCGTCGCCCTTCCTGAGCCTCTGCTACCATCAGATTGGGCATGAGATTGGGCAAGTTGTTCTCTGAAAGTCCTCCCGGACAAGTGTCTTGCGTGTGTTTGTGTACACATGCATGTCAGTGCTGAGATTGAGGGTTGGTGTATGTGAAGACATGAGTTCAGAGATCATGGAACCCACATGTGCAGTTTTGAGGTGGGGTGACTTGATTCACCTGTCGGTCATGCTTCCTCTCCAGACACATCCCGGAGGCCCAAGGACTCGGAAAGGGAAGGGCAGGGCTACAGCTTTGTGTCTCGCGGGGAGATGGAGGCCGACATCCGTGCTGGGCGCTACCTGGAACATGGCGAGTATGAGGGCAACCTGTACGGCACCCGTATCGACTCTATCCGTGGCGTGGTTGCCTCCGGCAAGGTGTGCGTGCTGGACGTCAACCCCCAGGTACCGTCTAGCTCTTCCCTTTCATGTCCGTCAGTGTCCTCTACCCACACCCTGCTCCCCTTAACAACTCCTGTATGGTTCCTAGTGTTCACGTTCCCCTCAACTATGGCTAGGCATCCGGCCCTTTTCCGATTTTCTGGATTCTTCCCCCAGCCTCCTTCAGTTCGTCTCCAGCTACCTGTCTTTCTCAGGACTCAGGACCCAGAACCCCAGGCACCCCAAGCACCCACTCTCAGGTGCCCACCCTGTCACTCACACATGTGAAGATATGGCTCCCACCTCTTCTTTGCCTGCAGGCAGTGAAGGTCCTGAGGACAGCTGAGTTTGTCCCTTATGTGGTATTCATTGAGGCCCCTGACTTTGAGACCCTTCGAGCCATGAACCGGGCTGCGCTGGAGAGCGGCGTGTCCACGAAACAGCTGACGGTGAGGGCCTCTGATTGCCTGGGGTGGTGGAACCCAGAGTGGTCGGACTTTGGTCAGAAATTTGTGCATCTGAAGAGAGGAAAGGATGAGAGAGGAGCCCAGGGCCCAACGTCTCAGACCAAGCCAGGGACACAGGACTTTTCCTCCAGGCCTACTATGTGCTCCAGAGAGCCAGTGGGAGACCTGTGGGACAGAGATGGCCAGGGGAGGCTTCTGGATCTTGATACAGCAGTGCTCCAAAGGATAGGGTTTGCCAAGTTCTGAGCTGAAGGCTTCCCACCCCCACACCCCCATCTCCCGTCCCATGCCTGTTATGACAGCTCCTCTGCTCCACAGAGGCTGTCTAGGTCAGGCTTGCATCCTCTGATGACCTGATGCCAGCTCTGTACACCATGGCCCTGACCAAAAATGCAGCCGGAGCCTCTGGAACACTGCTGCCCTCAGTTTTGTCAAGCCAGTTGTCCAGTGCCTTCACCGCTTCCCAGCTTAGCTTCCTTTAGGTGTAGGGTGGGTGGGAATTGACTTGTCCATTTGTGGGATCATCCTGGTACCAGGCGAATCCTGGCGCCACCTCATAGCTATAGTAAGGGAAGGGAGCCCTGGCTGGAGTCAGGCGGATCCCCGAGCTATCGGCTCACTGTGACCTCTTTGTATCTGAGCTTTGTCTTATAAATGGGAGAAAATTAATCCTCCCTTGTGGAGCTGTGGTGAAGGGCCTGCAGGTGGGTGAAGGGTTAGTGCCCTACTTGTCGCAATGGCTCCTCCCTCCTTCCCTCCCTCCCTTCTTCTCTCCTCTGCCTTCCTCCTTCTCTGCTCTCTTTCCCTTCTTCTCTCCTTTCCTCTCTCCTTCCCTCCCTCCCTTCCTTTTTTACATCCATCTGGGCTTGGTGCAGGAGCACAGTCTGGTGGGGCACAGGGCATCTGTACCACTGTGGCTGGACTTTGGGGTGAGGTAGGCAGGTTGTAGATCTCTCTGATGATGGGGGCAAGGAGGAGGCACTGACGAAGCCCCTTGTGCGGGACAGGAGGCAGATCTGAGGCGGACAGTGGAGGAGAGCAGCCGCATCCAGAGGGGATACGGGCACTACTTCGACCTCAGCCTGGTCAACAGCAACTTGGAGAGGACCTTTCGTGAGCTCCAGGCTGCCATGGAGAAGCTTCGAACAGAGCCCCAGTGGGTGCCCGTCAGCTGGGTGTACTGAGCTCTGCTCTGGACCTTGTTCCCTGCCTGGTTGGGAATCAATCCATCCTTCACCCCACCTGTGACACCCTCCTACCCTGATAATGATCTTCACCCCCACCCTGGTCTTCCCTGGATCACAGTTCCCAGCAGGCTTCAGTCCAGAGGTGTGCACTGCCAGGGAGGTGGGTGTTCATAGGGTACCTCTGTACCCAGGTGCTGCCCACTCCCGATGTCCACTGGCCACCTGACATCCCTCTCTAAGGATCATGCTGTGTCCAGGAGCATCTCAGAGTCCCTCCTGTGATGCTCAGACCAGGGAAGAGCAGAACTGCTTGGACCTTGTGGTCAGTAGGTCAAGGACCGTACCAGCCTTTTCTCCTTGGGGCTGGCCACACCCACCCTGTTCCCTGGCCCCTCTCAACCCTTCCTATAGTTCTTAGAACAGCCTTGGGCTGTTCTCCTGTGGCCAGGTACTCAGACCTGGGCAGTGGTGGCAGTCTGGGCTGTTTTAGAGACTGGGGGAGCCCCGTTGTGAGCCAGTTGTTGTAGCTGGTGGCACAGGCCTCAGCTCCTCGAGGAGCAAACATAGCCTGGTCCCTCCTTTATTCCTAGCTTCTCACTGCCAAAGTCTCTCCACGGACTTTCTCAATGTGTCCCTCTTTTATAAGCCCTGCTCCCCAAACAGTGCGACTGGCAGGTGGCAGGAGGCTTAGCCCAGGTTGGGAATAGGGCCTAGAAAGCCGAACCCTCTGTTACTGGGACCTAAGTACTCCGGGCTCCACAGCCCACACCAGGCTTTGTTTGCTTTGAGCTTTTCTCTGAACGGATCTAGGTGGCACCTGGCATTAGGGCGGCAAGCCTGGGCTTGAGGAGGGGCTGGGGGAGACTGTGAGTCTGGGCTTGGAAACAGACTAGCTTTGGTAGCACTTGCCACACGACTCCAAGGGAGTACGCTTGGGACTCCAGGCTGGGCAGTCTGCGGCTCTGCCGGCTGTGGTGCTGGTCCGCGTTCCTGGCCTTGGTGTGTGGGTTGTATGTGTGTGTGCTTATGCACGGATGTGGTTTGGTTTGAGGGGAGGCAGAGGAATGCTTTTTCTTGGAGGTGGCTCTTTGAGGTCCCCAGAGCCCAGGCGTTCCTCTACTCTCCTGTTGTCCCCTACCCTAAGTATCAGCCTTTAGTCCTGGGGGAGGGTGATTTTGTAAATTAGGAGAATCCTTTTAAAAACTCTGTCCTTGACATCCGGAGACATCTCATCCCTCATCCTTCTTGAGGGGGCTCCTGTCCTCTCAGGGATCCCCCCCAGCACCCCCACCCTGTGCCTCCCAGATCTCCTGAGTGTCAGTCTTTGCTGCAGTGCCGGCCCAAGCTGACCCCTGAACCACTGTGTGCCCATTTCCTAGGGGAGGGGAAGGGAGGGAGGGAAGGGAGGGAGAATAAACAGAATATTTATTACAAATGCTAGAAATATATTTATTATATTAGAAGCCTCATTTGCATTGCCATTGGACGGCCTGCTGCTCATTTGCATAGCTCTGCCCACACCTGTGCAGTCATCTTCCTACCTTGTTCCTGTTAGTCGATGTCCTGTCCTTCCGTCCTTCTGTTCAGCATCTTGCTGCGACCCTGACCCTCACTTAGCCTAAGGGGACCGGTAGCGGGAGAGAAATGGCACATTTCCCTGCTTGCCAGTTTTCTCCTCCCCTGGAGGACTAGTGTAGGGTTAGAGCAGCCCCTGATCCCCCCTGAGTAACCCACAAAGCCCTCTGACCAAAAGACCAGAGCCTCTAAGAGATCTGGTGGGCACCATGCTGGAGAGTTGGTACCAGTCCTTCCCTCTGGATACCCAATGGAGTAGTGATCCTCAGAGCATCCCCGGTAATGTGCAAGCGCCAGGGCTGGGTCCCTCCTCTCTGTACAGACTCCTACCTCTCCCGCTGAGCCCGGTTCTACACCCCTTTCAAGCGCTGGCCGGGTGGGAATAGAGGCTGGGAGCCTCCTCAGTTCACCTTTAGGTAGAACATGTTGGTGCCCACTGAGCTAGCTCTGTGACTCTGTCCTCCCTCCCTTCCTCCCTCCCTCCCACCGTGGACCCCAGGAGAAGGAGGACCCTGCCCCCCATGGTCCACGCTCAGTCTCAGCCCATTGCCCTTCCTTTGTCCCCCCCGCCCCCGCCAGCCATCTGATTCTTAAGTTTTCTTTCTTTTCCTTTGATTAAATGTGAAAGCATATGTTTCTGGACTCCGTTGGTCTTTGATTGGGGGGTTGGGTAGATGGTTTGGGGAGAAGGTGCGGGTTAGGGAATACAGCACAGATGGCTGAATTAAAGAAAGAAAGGAAGAGGAAAGCACGTGACTGCTCCTAGGTGTGGTGGAGGAGGCTTATTGCAGACATGTGGGAGAGCCTAGCCAGAGGCAGGGACAGGGACATCTGGGAGAGTACAGAGTGGACATGATCAGATTGAGCTGTGCCAGATGAGGAGGAGGGGAGGGGGAGGGAGAGAGAGGGGGGGGAACCAGGGGCAGCAGCTGGAAGGCCCAGCATACAAAGAGAGCTAGTAACCGAGATGGCTGGATTATACAGGGAAGAGCAGCTCAGCACCCCCACTCCCGGGAGTTCAGGGTAGGGAGCTGGGTATGCCAGCCAGAAGGGCCATGCAACAGTAGGTAGGGACTGAGGGTGCAGGGAGAACCTGGTGGCCAGTATCTGCTCTGTTACATAGGCACCTTAGCCATTTGGGCTGGGTTTTAAAACCTAACACTATTTCTAATGGAAGAGGGACTGGCTATGGCATCTTCCTCCCCCGTCCTGCCCCTCTGTGCTGTATCTTAAGGGCTTATGCCTGGGAGCTGGTGAGCATCATGAAACAAAGACTCAGGGTATCCATGGCCAATCCACACGACTCCACGTGGAACTCCTGTGGCCTTCAGCAGACGCCCCCGCCTCCCTAGGGCTTGGCTTCACCCTCTGTGAAAGTTCCACAGTCTCTCAGTGATAATGCTCACGGGTTCTGGGTGCTCACCCCAGGGCAGGAGATGACACTGGGGTGTCAGTCTTTAGATCCCTCAGCAGCAGCAACGCATCACACCTCCCAGGGGTTGCCACCACAGACTTATGTGTGGTCCAGGGCATCAGCATCCTTTCCACCCAAAGTTCTGCAGGAGGGAGTCGTGGTACACCTTCCTGTCATTATGGCTGCAGGTCTCTGAGGCAGTACCTGTGTGCAATGGCCACTTGTCCATTAGAACCTAGTCCCCAGCCCCAGGATACTGAGAGGAAGGTTGGGAAATGTAGTCTGTGGAGGGGTGAAGGCAGTCAGCAGATCCCTGTACTGAGTGAGCTTTGGGAGGTGCTTTGTTTTAGAAACTCCCAAAGTGAGGCCGGGTTTGCTGACCACTGTTATTCCTTGTTTGCCATATTCTTGGGATTGAGAAAACTTCTTTTTAGCTTCCAGTTGGCATTAAGATATTTTCCTAAATTAAAGACATAATCTGAAAGAAATTATTTGGTTTTTTTTGGGGTTTTTTTGTTTTTTTTTTTGTTTTTTTTTTTTTATAGAAGGGTGTTTTTTAAACCTGAACGGTCCTGGAAATCAATCTGTAGAACAGGCTGGCCGCGAA